GGAATCGGGCCTTGAGCCTACATTTGTTTGCCCTTGTTCAGTTAAGGCTTGTGTTGTGGTATCCTCAACTGGATTCTGTAACTGCTATTTTTCTTCGTTTCTCGTATTTGAATTTGTTACGGAGTTGATGTTCTTGGATGTCTATTGATCCCTACAGATTTGAAGTATCCCCCATGGTAATGGAAATTTAATAACTTGATGTAAGGTAGACGGAACGACATCCATCTCGTGTATCCATGGTCTCCCGAGAATCATATTGTAAGCCATCTCCATCTCTACCACCTGAAACTTTGTATCTTTGACAACCCTTTCTGCGAATGTAGTAAGTTTTATCTCCTCTTTCGTCACAACGCTGGAATTGTCGAATCCAGACAAAGTATGCGCCTTTGGTACTAGTTTATCTTCAGCTTGCATCTCGTGCAGTACTCTCAGTAGAATAATGTTCACGGAACTACCTGGATCAATCAAAACTCATTTCACATTAGTATCATGTACAAATAGAGATATTACCAGTGCATCGTTATGTGGAGTTAACACGCCATCCACATCTGCATCATCAAACGTAATGCTTTCTTCCTCTAAGACATGTCGCACCCGCTTCTCGTGGGTAATTGTGACTTTGGAAACTTTATTGGCTGTTGTGTACGTTACATCATTGATTTGTTCGCCCCCGCTTATAACATTAACGGTCCTTTTGGGAGAAGGAGGTTTAGGGGGCTCCTGCATGTTCTTTTATGTATGCTTGCGTACCTTTCTCATTGAATAATTCAGTGAGATACCCTTGCTTTAATAGATGATCAACTTCGCCTTGTAGAAATTTGCCGTTTTATGACCATGATCGTTGTGAAATTCGCACCAATGATCAGGATTGCACCTGTTTGGATTTGATCTCATTTCTTTTGGCCAACGCACCTTATCTCCCATGCCTCTTAACACCACTACCAATTCTGAAGTGCTGACATTGAAATTGTAACCGCTAAATCTTGCCTTCAAGTTCCTATCATCACTCGAATTTCCCGTGAGTTTCGATCGTTCTCAAATCTTGATGACGAACCCGACTCTCTATTTCTTGATCTATGATCGTACCTTGAATTATCCTACTTTGATCGTGAGTCTTTTCCTGCTGGGACCATATATGGTTCGTACCTATTTTTACCAGACCTTTTTTCGTTTTTGAACGTCTCGAACTCACCTTCTCCTCTTTCTGAAATCAGGAGATAGTGTCTTCATCTATCCTCAACTTCATGCTATATCTGTTGTAAACGTCATTCCAGGTTGTTGTTGGAAATTCACGCAGACTTTCTTTGAGTCGTCTCGTGGCTTCTGAACTTTTCTCATTCAAGTTACTGGCAAAAGCCATAGCTGCCCAATTATCTGGTACGCGTGGTAACATCATTCTTTCACGCTGGAACCTATCCACGAACTCCCTAAGCAACTCTGAATCTCCTTGCTTGATTCTGAAAATATCCTCCATTCTCTTTTCAACTTTCTGAGCTCCCGAATGTGCTTTGATAAAAGAATCTGCAAGAATTTTCGGGTAAAAGGGAATACCATGTTAATGCACCCTTGGTGAGTGATTCACCAAATTTTTTGACCAACACTGATTCAATTTCTTGTTTGGTTAAATCGTTGCCCTTCACACCAGTTGTGAATGCAGTCACGTGGTCTCGTGGATCAGTTGTGTCATCATACTTTGGAATATCAGGCATTTTGAACTTCTTCGGGATTGGCACCGGAGCTGCACTAGGCTTCCAAGGTTGTTGTAAGTACTTATTCATGTCTATTCCTTTGATTACAGGTGGTACTCCAGGTATTTGCTCTATACGGTCGCTTTGCTCCTTGAGCTGCTTCTGCAAGGTTAGAACTAAATTTTGTAAATCAGAATTAACTATGTTACCTGGCTCGCCATCGCGAGACTCGCTTGGAGTTCCACCAGTGCCTGAGTTGACGAGCCCAGAACGTGGGTTTTCCAAAGTATTTTGATTCGGAGTTGGTGTTGGTGGTGCAATTGGCAATTGGCTGTTAAAAGCTCGGAGGGCATTACTGACTTGTGGAGCAATGAGATTTTTAAGGCATCATCAAGTGCTTGTTCGTTTGCAACCCCATTATTTGTTTCAGAGCCATCTGGAGTTCCTTCTCGTAACTGACATTGTGAATCACGCGGTGAGGGAAGTGGTGTCCTATCACCCACATCATTCTCCTGATGTTGAGTATCTTGGTTGTTGTCGTTGTTATTCGACATGGTAAGTTTTGATGAAAGAATTGATTAAGAAAGTAAACAATTATCAGATTCCCGGTAACAGAACCAATTTGTTTAACCAAAAATAGTAATTTCGGTCAAAGCGTTATTTTAGAAGAACTTGGGTTACTAAGAATCAATATATAAAATGAATAAAAGAAATTGACTTTAATAATAATCAGATGAACAGAAGAAAACAAAGTAAATTAATATATTTTGGTAATATTTCGTGTCCTTATAAATGATCAATCTTATTCTTTTATAGCTATTTCTAAGTGGTACGTTTCGTTTCTTCCATAATTGAGCCATTATTGTCAATTAATGGCATTTAATGACATTTAATGTAGCGTTACAATCAACAATCATATTTGATTCAATATAGATTCCTTTACGTTTCTCTATTTAATGCCCAATAGTTTGTATCTATTCCTTATTTTTTATCAGATTCATTCTCTTCCGTCATAAAGAGGTTCGAGCACCTGCCTTCCTTGCCTTTTATCTGAATGACTGCTCGTGCCTGTTAAAGCTCGTGTCTCTTTGATTATTCTTCATCACTTGTTCTTCTTTAACTGGTCCACGTGTCATGACATGTCATCTTATAGTGATTCCATATATAAACTTAATTTTTCCCAATACAAGTACTATATCAAAAGCACGAAGGCCCTTAGCTAAATATCGTTCGCCTTTTTACCCTTTGAAAATAGAGTTTTATATTGGACAAAATAGTAATACTAATATTTTTCTAATATTTAGGATTCTAAGATTTTATAATTTGGTTATTAAATCTTTCCTTGTTTGAGTTATTTAAGAATTCCTAACATTTAGGATCTTGTATGTGAGTCTTACCTTACATAATTTTTTTTAAAATAGAAAAACGCACAAAATCGTATATTTAATGCAAAAGCATTATAAAAATGAACTGCAAGAATTTCTTTAAATTTATATCCAAATAATAAGGTTTAAAGCACATCGGTAATGAAATGGTAACGGAATTCACCATTTTCTACTTTCAAAACAGTCTTTAAGCACAATATTACGATTTTTAAAGATTAAATTATTAAACAATTTAAACTAGATCTCTTCAATCACGATTCGGTATTTTTCTTCCATCAATATAACATCTGATTAAATTAAGATATTAAGATATGTACGCAATATTGTTATATCTATCTAACAATGTCTTCGAGAATGAACTTAAGAATATAAAGTCTTTTCAAAAGAAAACAAATTAAAAAATTCTTAAATGTTTCAGGGTTATATTTTCTTCCTTAACTTTAAAAAAAGTATGATAACTTGTGAAATTGAAGTAATTATATTATAACTGGAATCAATTTTAAGTTTTATTTTGATGGAGATGATTGGACACTTATAGAATAGAAATTTCTTTCTTATTGAATAACTAAATAGGATCAATAATTATCATTTAAGGAACTTAATTATACTTTATTTATTTTATAACTAAATTACAACTTTTAATGTAATATTTTTATATAAATAAATTTTATTTGAACAGTATGGAAAGTTTTAGCATTCACAATATTTTAAATAAATTAAAGTTTAATTACCTTATATGATTATTTTCTTATTTGAATGATGTAACATAATTGTATACCCTTTCATGTTAAAACTTGGGATGAGTTAATATTAAGAATTTGAATCAACAAAAAATAAATTAGCCCTTTAATGTCAAGGCCAAATAATTAAGTCTAAAAATCCAATCCAATTATTTGTCAAATTTATCATAATTAAAATTATTTTTTCCAGTTGACAAAACTCTTAGGATGCCTAAATTTGTTTGCATAATAATAGTATTGGGGGTGAAAAAATAAAAATAGAAAAATAGAAAAATTAACGTGGAAAGTTTTATAGATAAGCCTTTTTTCAAGTAAAACTATATATTTTAAGGAGTATAAAGTAATTTTTATCTTATAATACAAACATACTATATTTAATAGTACTTACATAATTTTCAAAAAGATCGTATATTTACTGACTTAGGTACCATAAGACTAGAATCTTTAAAAAAGGGAAATCACCAAGGGCTGAAATGTTTAGAATGGCTATGGCTGATGCAGTATACTACATATGGTGTAGCAATTGCTACGTTGAAGACAAGGAAATTAAGTAGAAAAAATAAACAAAAAGGGAAATATGTCATGTATTTTCAGTACCCAATTCCTGTACAATCATTGCCCCAAATAGTGGAATATGACAGCTGCATCCCTTTTGGAATTATCTAGACAAAGCAATTAAACTAAAACACGTGTCCCTTGAGTCAGCAAGCTAATTTGGGGACCTAGACAACTAATTGAAAATAGACAAACTTCTGGACTAAAGCTGTAAAGACTAAAAGAAACAATTAAAGTTATGAAATGTATAATTTCGTAACATATGGCTTGAGAAGAACCAAAGGATATTTCAAGAGACAAAGAAGAGCGCAAACCACATTATTAAGCAAATTGTTCGCAGTTAATATACCAGAGGTGTCTCTGTTATTTGACTACTACTGGGGCCTGATGTCCAGTAGTAGTGTTTTTCTTTCTTTCTTGTATGTTCGCAGTTCATTCAAATTGGTAATACAATCTCTTATTTACCAAAAAAAATCATGTCTTTAAAATAAATCTAGCAAACATGCTTTGTTCACACTGTTGAGTGCTAAACGTTTGTCTTAATAATGTTTTTAGGTAAGTAACATACAAATATTACTTCTAAATAAAGTTAGTTTGACCATGAAGTTAAGCGATACCACGAAAAGAGGAAATAATATATTTTCTGTAGATCGACTTCAAATTATTTGGAGGAAATAATTACATACTTTGTACATCTTCAAAATGAGAACACAGAATTATTTCACAAGTAATTATGCCTTCTTCTTTTTTTACAAACAGAGAGCAAACGAAAATACATAAACTCAATTTATATTCAAAATTGAGCAAGCTACTCGCATAAAACCGTTGCAAAGTGACAGATATAAATTACAGTAACGGTTTTCTAATCACTGTTTGCAAGAACGGCGTTGAGACGAACGGAATAGTAATCTACTGAGCTTTGACTTAGTTATTCTGGGAGGAATTTCATCGTTATCCACTTCTACTGAAAGAAGGTTTTCATCCCCAGATAACTGACCATGCATATTCAAGCCATTTTCAAGTTGTATGGCTTTTTGCATTGTTCCAATTATTTTTCCAAAGCAAATATATCTTCCACAGGCTCCATAGTCCATATCTTCATAGACATAAATATGTGCTTCTGCCACTTTACTAACATCTTCAGTTGCTAAAAGTCCTTGCCGTAGCATGAAATGACCACCTATAATTAATTAACAGTTCTTCGAGTTAGTAAACGAATCAAACAATCAACTATGTCCTCCATCTGTATTTAGTTTGGGGTCAGCTAGTTAAAGTGAGTTCTTAATCCATAACTAGTTCGAGATTGCCTTCTTTTCGAGTCAAGAAGAGGAGACCAAGCATGCTCATGTTCGAGCCACCTTGAGTTCCCAGCTTTATTGCCACTTTATTTTGGGTTCAACCAGTTTGTTCATAGCAATGTAACTGTTATGTTTACCAATCTTGAGTCCTGCTAGTACATGCTCCTAAATGTATAAGAAGGTAAGGCCTAGTCCCCCTTCAGCAACTTCATTTTGCGCACAGTGGCAATAAAATTGTGACTCGTGTTTCAAGTTAAAAAAAAAAAAAGTCGAGATTGGAGTCTTACACCTAAGTGATGGGAAGAAGCAGTTGTCATTTGAAAGTAAAGGATCTTCTCCTGTTTTACGAATTCTACAACTCTCTTTACTGAGCGAGACTTCATCTATATCCTTGGTGGTGGTTTTTCTTTCATTCAATCATCACTTCTTTATTCCGATCTCCAATTTAATTAGTGTAAGTAATAGATTCGTCTTGATTGATATGTTACCTTTGAGGTATGGAATAGAAGTTTCAAGGTGAGCATTTGGGAAAGATGGTGCCATGAGAAGTCCGGGACATAAACTAACAAGTTTCACCTTCATCTCCCTTGCTTTATTCCAAGCAGTTTTCTCTGCCCTGGTCTTGGCCAATGCTAGCCAAAGCTGCTTTTCATGAAAAAAAATTAATAGTCAAGAAGATTAAAAAAGAGCTCTTCTTAGCATAAGCGAATCCAGAATATAGAGTCAGTGATTCGGAATGAGCATGATCTTATTAAATGTATACATCTGAATTTTATTTGTATTCCCTCTGATTTTTAGACAAAATGAAGAACGAAGGTTAACAAATAGTAACAAGTACCTTGTTTTCTCTGCAGAATGTCTCATCGCTCCAAAAACTCTCATCTATAAGGTTTGGCAGGTCATTGCCTTTCCAGATGCATGCAAGTAGAGAGGAGGTGAAAATGCATCTTTTTATATATGCTGCCCTGCCACAAGCTTCTATGACATTCTTTGCTGCTTCTGTTTCAAGAAATGCCGTCCGTTCCTGAGACATGTTGGCTTGTCAGCATACGTTTTGGATTTACACAGGTTGGATTTTGTTTAGTAGAAATTAAAACTTTACTCAGGCAGAGCTGCACCTGAAGGAATTTAAAGAACTTTCTCTCTTTTTCTAGATACATTTGTCAGTAATCTGATGTGTATAAGGAGGTTCAAGAGGATATCTTGCTTCAGTTATACACTCTTTGCCAAAAATACTGGATTAAGTTAAACCTAGTTAATTTTAGCTCCATCCCCCTCATCGCCAAAGGTAAATACTTCGGAGTTGAGAAAGAACAAATACTAAAGATGTGGACAATGAACTGATGCAAGCTAGTTTTTCCTTTTTCTTCTCATTGACAACTAAGAACCAAATGTAGCAGTAGTATTTAGTGACTATAATATGCAATGCAAAAGAGAAAAATATGACCAACCGTGTATCCAGAGATCCCATGTGGATCAATAAAAGATGATGTGTGGAATATAGCATGGCAACCTCTAAAAGCACTACAGAGGCTGTCTAAATCACCCATTCTTGCCACCACAACACTTTCCAATTGCTCCATTTCTTCTCTCATCAGCTCCTTCATGTCCTCAAGATTAGCTGCTCAAAAGGAAATAACTTGCAAATATTAGCAACAAAAACCAAATATAAAGAAGGGGTTAACTTCAAATTCTGTCATTGACAAAATATTCAATTCTATACAAGTAGGAACTGCACAAGTACACAACTAATTAAGGAAAAGGGGTTGCTAGTACCTTGATTTTGAATGGTAACCCGAACAAGGTAACCATATGCCAAAAGCTTCTTGATCAAGTGAGAACCAAGGTAGGAGTTTCCACTGGTGACACAAACAATTTTCCTGTCTCTTGCATTCAGACTGCAGCTCAGATCACTAGAAAAGCACATTCCATGATCATTCCTCTGCTTTAGTAGCTCTATTGGTAAGGACATTGCGACCTCCATATCTCTCTCTGCAGCTCAGAATCTGAAGTTTTCTTGTGTTCAGAGCCTTAAGCTACCTGCCACTTAAGTTGATATAGTGAGAGTGTGGCTTTGTTGAACTTCTAAAAGATACTATATAGTTACTAGCTAAAATACTAAAAATAGTAAAGATGGCGAGAAAGATGAGGTGATGTGATTGTATGGAAATTTTCACTGTTAACTAGAAAGTTAGGTTGTGTTTGCGGATATAAATGCCCCCAATTTCTGCAGTTTAGGAGGTCTCCGTCTCACACAAGCAGTATATATAAACTGAATTTCAAAGATTTAGCTGACACCTTAAACTAGATATTAGACCTTAGGAATAATTTAGATTAGGATAAGAGATGTATATTTAATTAAAATTAAGGAGATAGGTTGAAGCCAATCAGGTTCCCCATCTACACCTAACCAACATATTAGTCGTTCATTAAAATATGAAGTCTTGGATACTTCTGTCTAATTCAAGGGAAATTCAAGGTAAAGTTTGGCCAAGGGTCTTATGAGTTCACTCTAGGATCATAATTTTAAATGGAAAATGTTAAATCAACCACAATATGTCAAAATAATTTTACCAATTTATAAGGCAAAAGGCCTCAATACGGGTAAGACTGCGTACATCTTGCTCTCCAGCCTTATTCCTATCCAGACTCACTCGTGAGAAACTACTTGATTTTTTTGTTGGTGTTATAAGGCAAAACGGTAGCTTACGTGGAGACTGCAAAATCGTCCAAAAGAAAAGTCATCCAATTGATGCAAGAGCGACACTCATTTAATGCTAACCGGTAGGGTTTGTGGCTTTTGAATCTTACACATCCTAGCTTCTTCCAAATCACAATCTATTCTGCGTAGCACTGCTTTAGTCATTAGATTGCAATTCGAAAACATTGAAGATTTTTTTTTTACAACTTCAATCAACTAAACTTTGACCTTACATTGCACGTTCTTTTTTAAGTCAATCCAACTCTTTTTTTCTTACTCCCTCCCGTCCACAATAAGCGATCAATTTATTTTTTTATTTTGGTCCAAAATAAGTATCTATTTATATAATAAAAAAAAAATTAATTTGTTTTTCCAAAATTACCCTTATGTATGTACCCCTAAAAAGTCATTACTCCTCACATTTGAGAAAAGAAGTGCTACTATAACTATGGTGCAACATTTAATGAAGGATAGTTTAGTCACACTAACTATTTTCGTCTAGAATTTAGTATTTCCTTAATGGGTGTGCCCAAAGCAAATTGCTCACTTGTTGTAGAACGGAGGGAGTATAAGTCAGGTTAATGACATGATTAATTTCTCTTATATTAGAAGCAACAGTTTGGTCCTTCAGCTACATGTATCATCAACATGCCTATCCGGCCCATGATTTAAGCCCCTTTTGTTAGACCAAGTTTCAAGAATTTACCCACAAAACTTTGGTTGGTCAAAATAGCTACACCGAACAATTGTTTGTTCCAGAAGCGCGCATCTGCATTTGGTACCTTTAAACCTCGTGAAATTCCAACTCAGAACAAACAACGATTAGTTAGCATGTATTGTAAGTCAAACGAAATCTTGACTAATATATCTACATTGTATGAATAGAATGTTGAATTTCAGAATGCTACAAAACCAATTGTTTGCCGTGTGATCTAGTAAAGACAACAAAAAGGAGTTAAAAAAGAATGCAGATTTCAACGCTAACCAAAAAAGGAATAGCACAGTGATTTACACAATGTAATTACAGGTCAGATCTCTCAGTGAGTTATGGTATATTCATTCGAAGTTTGTGAGAAACCACCACTTGTCGGCGCGAATTGCTTCGATTTTGCACCAGGTGGGAACACTACGGCAATATTTGATAATAAGCCATTGAAAACTCAACTCCTATAGCTGCTTTGGGAGTAATTGAAGAAATCTGAACTGTACTCTTGACTTCCAAAGGCCATTCTTTGAAACATTCTTATCTGTGCAGATTGTTCCCTTGAATCAAAAATTTCACTTTGTCCAGGTTTCATTCCATTGGACAGATCTGACAGTTCATCCATGGAATCTAGAGCTCTAACCACCTGTAGCAGGAAGACAGACAGACAATGCAAAAAATTTAGGATTGCAGCAAAATGAATAATAAACAGCGTCTCTGCAAATAAGACTAATCACCTGGCTCATACGAGGCCTTTTTGGGCCTGAATGACGTACACAAGCTGCAGCTGCTTCAATCATCCGGAACATCTCACTCGCAACAAAGTTCTTTTCAAGCCTAGGATCTACTATATCTTCAAAATTTTCAGTCTCAAGTGCTTGAGCAAGCAAAGGTCGAGCCTACAAGATAGAAGGTAAATTCTCAATTTTCACTTAACGAATATAATACCCAAGTGACTACGAGAATAATGTATAAGCAAATAGGACAAACTTCAACAGGCCCAATCAAATAGGTTGAACTTTATGTTTTATTTTATGAATGACAAGTGAGGATTGTATCGCCATCCTCTGCCAGGGTGATGGAACTTAAAAAAGTAAATTAAGTAGAAACAAAAATTGAACTGTACAGCTAATAGAAGAATAAATATTCAGTTAACCACCAAGGGAGCAAAAGTGGAGAGCTCCTAGGGAGGGGTAAAAAAAATTAGCAGTACTAATAGAAGAATAAATATTGAGTGTAACCCACTGCCAGATAAAACCTAGCAATCTAACTGAGTGGAAAGAAGTAGAATATTCTGATGCTACCCGCTTCGCTTTAAAAAAAAGTAAAGTCACAAGCTTGAAGTTAAGTGATCTTGACCTTGTCACTTGACCTAGATATCATTTTCTACTCAGCTTATACTAGTCTCAGTTATGTTAGTGCTTTAGCATTTTAATATTTTGTTTTTAATTGTCCTAGTTGTGCTAATCACTCCTCTACATCTTTTTAATAGATCAAATTCATTTTATTACAAATCACTCCAGCCAACTATCTATGAAACGAGGAATATTTAGTTTACATGAAATGAACAATCTCCTTTGACTATCCATAATAATCATCCCCCCTCCCCCTCCCCTCTCTTTCCTATTGTCTAAAATATGCACAGAGGGGTTAGTTTCCAAATTCCCTTCCTCCCAGTTTCCATTCCCTCTACCCACAAAGCAAATAGCAGATGATTCAAATACGTATAAATGCAACACCAACTCACCATAATACATCTCCTTTTTGTTAAATTGTCTACTGTTAGAACAGTTTGCCATGAGGCGCACACGAGAAGGTGCCACTTCCTACGTGCTTTAGTATTCCTTACAGACTCTCGATTAGGCCTTGGCTCGTCATCTCTGTAGTAAAACTTAATAGCGAGATGTTTATTGTCTGTCCATTTCCAAATTGTTTTATCTAAACTCCTGAACTGTGTTTGCTTGTATAGATTCGTAGTAAACCATCAACTTCATTCCTCTCCGTATCTTGAATAGCTCTTCTTCCATCCTGAGCTATTCGGCTACCATAACATGTTTATCTACTGTTTGATAGTATAAATTGCTGAACTTCTCTTTCAGAGTTGGTTCTACCCACCATACGTCAAGCTATCTATGCGTCAAGTAAAGTAGGATTCAATTACCAATCTCACTAGGAACTCAATAAACTTTAAAAGTCATTCACTGTCATGATCCCTTCCATACACTTACCTCATACTATGTAGATAGTTTATATATAAACCAACCATGTCTCTAACGTCCATGATTTGCAAAGATCACCTTCCTCCATAAGACATCGTATTTGTTCGGATACCTTTATAACCATTTGCTCCGTAAAGCTTGATTTTATTTTTTATCCCAATTATGTTAATCATGCGTATTTGATTTTTAAGCAGTCCTAACTCCCACCACTAATAAGGCTCAGAGCCTTTACAATCAATTTTGGAAACCCAATGTCCCTTCTCCCTCAAAGGAAATGAACGTTGAACCCAAGGGTATAGCCTAATGGTCAATGACGTGGGAGGAGAACCATGGGGTCTCAATTACAAATCTCAGGGAAACAAAAAATACTAGGTGATGCCCAAGCCTTGGGGTGGTTTT